AATACAAGTTTCTGAGTTTAAGTATGATAGAGTTAGTCAAGATTCGGAGACGGTGGCCTTGCAACAATTGCTTCATCGGAGACGATTGTTCTGTCTTTAGTTCTTTCATAACCAACTTCTGCAATCTTTCGATCTCCTCGTGATCGGAGCGAATTTTCTCGAGCATATTCCTTCTGATTTCTGGAGAGGCAGGAGAAGAAGCCTCGAGTGATGCCGAATCAGACATTATCAGATTCTGAGCTCTATTTAGGGTTTTCTTAGGGCTCACGGCTACTTAGGGTTTTCGAGAGAATAAGCTAATTAAGAAACACTGTATCTCAGCTGGAAAATAATATCCCCGCCGTTAGAACCGCCGTGACGTCGAGAAGGAGCCGAGAACAAACGACTTCGAGATCTAAAGCTTGGAAGTTACGGAAACGAAGACGAAGAAATAAATCGAGCCCTTATTTATCAACGAAACTCAAGAGTTCCGGTTTACTGTAATGGGCTTTATCAATTGAGCTAACCGGCTTAATGATAAAAAAAGGAGCTGTTTAGTTCAGTTCTCAAAATTATTAAAAATATGAGAATGGAACAAAGCCCATTAGGCCTCTCTAATCCGTTTTAATCACTCTAGGCAGATTGATGGATTGTTAGGAAATTATTATTTTTCATTTAACTATTTGGTCCTTTGTTTTTTTAGTTGTATATTTGTATATGCAATTCGATGAGAAGATATACCTGAAACACAAACAAAAGATGAGAAGGAAAAATGAATCTCTACGCTATCAAATAGAAATAATTAAATAATACCAATTTAGTAGTAATGATCAAAACCATATTCTTTTGAGCTTAGATATCATTGGAAAACATGCCACATGCAAAGTTAAACAAATATAATAACTAAAGTTATATTAGCAATCAATTAACTTTTTATATGTTTAGATTAATTAGAAAACTAGTCAATGGACTGAAAAGGATTGGATAAGATAAGGATATTTGAAAGGTTGATTTCATTCTTCTTGCAACTTCTTCCCTTATTTTATTTTTCTTGACTTGTTGAATATTTCCCTAATTGTATAATGTTACCTATTTTACAGATAATATTATAACAGGTGAATAGGTGATCATGTTGTCACTAGATGATTCGATATTTTACATAGGAGATTAATCTATTTCTAGAGAATTATTGGCACCTTATGATCGAACATGTTACCTAAAAAGGTGAACTTATCATATCGCATAAATTTTGGACAAAATATTCTCACACTAACTTCTTAAGTATATGATGCAATTATGTTTCCACAATTGGGAGGAAGGATTAGATGTCACTAGCTGACTTCTACAAACGATAAAATATTAGAAGTTTTTGTTTTATACTTTTATGCTACTTTTATGGGTCGATGGTGGTGATTGATTTTCATTAAGTGTGTTTAAATTTTGAACCACATTCGTATATAGTGTGGGCAATTTGCAAACTTAAGTTTCTCGAAAAGTTTCGAGATTTTCAAGAAATTCATTTTTAAAATATTTGTAGATACCGTACACGAGGTTTATAATTTGCTTGTGTAGGATGGTCCAAGCTAGGTCTACCCTAGTTATTTGCCAAATTTATTATTCCATCAGTTTAAAATACAAAACGATAGCATTTTGATCAAACACCGTGATATTTTTTTAAAATGAATTAAATGGCAATGGATTTAGATAAACGACAGATCCATGTCATGTGTTTTTACGTAGATACAATACGTAGATACAATACGCAGATCACTTGATATTATATGATTTTTTTCCACAATTATTTGTTCGCGGATAAAATAACAATAGAACTCCCAAAAGTTTATAATATGTAATTAACATATAAGATTACGATACTACGGCTGAACGAGGAAGATTTGGTGTTTTTTATATCACGTCGGATACTATACATAATTTAGAGCAAATGTATAAAGTAGAAAAAGGCAAAATAATTCGATAAGATATTAACAAGAAGCTCGATTATTGAGTTAGCTAACA